CGGCCGCCGCCAGCTCCGACGGCACGCTTCGAGCCGCGCACGCGGCCGGCATTAGTTTGTAGGCACTGCATAAATGAAGTAGAACGGCCAACACCGCCGAGAACGGCGGCTATCGGCAGCCTGCCGCTGCCAGTATCGACCCTCAGGTCTAGATCTAGATAATGTGGCAAAATGTGTTGTTCGCGGCCGCCGCCAGCTCCGCCGGCACGATTCGAGCCGCGCACGCGACCGGCATTAGTTTGTAGGCACTGCATACATGAAGTAGAACGGCCAACACCGCCGAGAACGGCGGCTATCGGCAGCCTGCCGCTGCTAGTATCGACCCTCAGGTCTAGATCTAGATAATGTGGCAAAATGTGTTGTTCGCGGCCGCCGCCAGCTCCGCCGGCACGATTCGAGCCGCGCACGCGACCGGCAATTGTTTGTAGGCACTGCATACATGAAGTAGAACGGCCAACACCGCCGAGAACGGCGGCTATCGGCAGCCTGCCGCTGCTAGTATCGACCCTCAGGTCTAGATCTAGATAATGTGGCAAAATGTGTTGTTCGCGGCCGCCGCCAGCTCCGCCGGCACGATTCGAGCCGCGCACGCGACCGGCATTAGTTTGTAGGCACTGCATACATGAAGTAGAACGGCCAACACCGCCGAGAACGGCGGCTATCGGCAGCCTGCCGCTGCCAGTATCGACCCTCAGGTCTAGATCTAGATAATGTGGCAAAATGTGTTGTTCGCGGCCGCCGCCAGCTCCGCCGGCACGATTCGAGCCGCGCACGCGACCGGCATTAGTTTGTAGGCACTGCATACATGAAGTAGAACGGCCAACACCGCCGAGAACGGCGGCTATCGGCAGCCTGCCGCTGCTAGTATCGACCCTCAGGTCTAGATCTAGATAATGTGGCAAAATGTGTTGTTCGCGGCCGCCGCCAGCTCCGCCGGCACGATTCGAGCCGCGCACGCGACCGGCAATTGTTTGTAGGCACTGCATACATGAAGTAGAACGGCCAACACCGCCGAGAACGGCGGCTATCGGCAGCCTGCCGCTGCTAGTATCGACCCTCAGGTCTAGATCTAGATAATGTGGCAAAATGTGTTGTTCGCGGCCGCCGCCAGCTCCGCCGGCACGATTCGAGCCGCGCACGCGACCGGCAATTGTTTGTAGGCACTGCATACATGAAGTAGAACGGCCAACACCGCCGAGAACGGCGGCTATCGGCAGCCTGCCGCTGCCAGTATCGACCCTCAGGTCTAGATCTAGATAATGTGGCAAAATGTGTTGTTCGCGGCCGCCGCCAGCTCCGCCGGCACGATTCGAGCCGCGCACGCGACCGGCAATTGTTTGTAGGCACTGCATACATGAAGTAGAACGGCCAACACCGCCGAGAACGGCGGCTGTCGGCAGCCTGCCGCTGCTAGTATCGACCCTCAGGTCTAGATCTAGATAATGTGGCAAAATGTGTTGTTCGCGGCCGCCGTCAGCTCCGCCGGCACGATTCGAGCCGCGCACGCGACCGGCATTAGTTTGTAGGCACTGCATACATGAAGTAGAACGGCCAACACCGCCGAGAACGGCGGCTATCGGCAGCCTGCCGCTGCCAGTATCGACCCTCAGGTCTAGATCTAGATAATGTGGCAAAATGTGTTGTTCGCGGCCGCCGCCAGCTCCGCCGGCACGATTCGAGCCGCGCACGCGACCGGCAATTGTTTGTAGGCACTGCATACATGAAGTAGAACGGCCAACACCGCCGAGAACGGCGGCTATCGGCAGCCTGCCGCTGCTAGTATCGACCCTCAGGTCTAGATCTAGATAATGTGGCAAAATGTGTTGTTCGCGGCCGCCGCCAGCTCCGCCGGCACGATTCGAGCCGCGCACGCGACCGGCATTAGTTTGTAGGCACTGCATACATGAAGTAGAACGGCCAACACCGCCGAGAACGGCGGCTATCGGCAGCCTGCCGCTGCCAGTATCGACCCTCAGGTCTAGATCTAGATAATGTGGCAAAATGTGTTGTTCGCGGCCGCCGCCAGCTCCGCCGGCACGATTCGAGCCGCGCACGCGACCGGCAATTGTTTGTAGGCACTGCATACATGAAGTTGAACGGCCAACACCGCCGAGAACGGCGGCTATCGGCAGCCTGCCGCTGCTAGTATCGACCCTCAGGTCTAGATCTAGATAATGTGGCAAAATGTGTTGTTCGCGGCCGCCGCCAGCTCCGCCGGCACGCTTCGAGCCGCGCACGCGACCGGCATTAGTTTGTAGGCACTGCATACATGAAGTAGAACGGCCAACACCGCCGAGAACGGCGGCTATCGGCAGCCTGCCGCTGCCAGTATCGACCCTCAGGTCTAGATCTAGATAATGTGGCAAAATGTGTTGTTCGCGGCCGCCGCCAGCTCCGCCGGCACGCTTCGAGCCGCGCACGCGGCCGGCATTAGTTTGTAGGCACTGCATACGTAAAGTAGAATGGCCAACACCGCCGAGAACGGCGGCTATCGGCAGCCTGCCGCTGCCAGTATCGACCCTCAGGTCTAGATTTTGAAAATGTGGCAAAATGTGTTGTTCGCGGCCGCCGCCAGCTCCGCCGGCACGCTTCGAGCCGCGCACGCGACCGGCATTAGTTTGTAGGCACTGCATACGTAAAGTAGAATGGCCAACACCGCCGAGAACGGCGGCTATCGGCAGCCTGCCGCTGCCAGTATCGACCCTCAGGTCTAGATCTAGATAATGTGGCAAAATGTGTTGTTCGCGGCCACCGCCAGCTCCGCCGGCACGATTCGAGCCGCGCACGCGACCGGCATTAGTTTGTAGGCACTGCATACATGAAGTAGAACGGCCAACACCGCCGAGAACGGCGGCTATCGGCAGCCTGCCGCTGCCAGTATCGACCCTCAGGTCTAGATTTTGAAAATGTGGCAAAATGTGTTGTTCGCGGCCGCCGCCAGCTCCGCCGGCACGCTTCGAGCCGCGCACGCGACCGGCATTAGTTTGTAGGCACTGCATACGTAAAGTAGAATGGCCAACACCGCCGAGAACGGCGGCTATCGGCAGCCTGCCGCTGCCAGTATCGACCCTCAGGTCTAGATCTAGATAATGTGGCAAAATGTGTTGTTCGCGGCCGCCGCCAGCTCCGCCGGCACGCTTCGAGCCGCGCACGCGACCGGCATTAGTTTGTAGGCACTGCATACGTAAAGTAGAGTGGCCAACACCGCCGAGAACGGCGGCTATCGGCAGCCTGCCGCTGCCAGTATCGACCCTCAGGTCTAGATTTTGAAAATGTGGCAAAATGTGTTGTTCGCGGCCACCGCCAGCTCCGCCGGCACGATTCGAGCCGCGCACGCGACCGGCATTAGTTTGTAGGCACTGCATACATGAAGTAGAACGGCCAACACCGCCGAGAACGGCGGCTATCGGCAGCCTGCCGCTGCCAGTATCGACCCTCAGGTCTAGATCTAGATAATGTGGCAAAATGTGTTGTTCGCGGCCGCCGCCAGCTCCGCCGGCACGATTCGAGCCGCGCACGCGACCGGCATTAGTTTGTAGGCACTGCATACATGAAGTAGAACGGCCAACACCGCCGAGAACGGCGGCTATCGGCAGCCTGCCGCTGCCAGTATCGACCCTCAGGTCTAGATCTAGATAATGTGGCAAAATGTGTTGTTCGCGGCCGCCGCCAGCTCCGCCGGCACGCTTCGAGCCGCGCACGCGACCGGCATTAGTTTGTAGGCACTGCATACATGAAGTAGAACGGCCAACACCGCCGAGAACGGTGGCTATCGGCAGCCTGCAGCTGCCAGTATCGACCCTCAGGTCTAGATCTAGATAATGTGGCAAAATGTGTTGTTCGCGGCCGCCGCCAGCTCCGCCGGCACGCTTCGAGCCGCGCACGCGACCGGCATTAGTTTGTAGGCACTGCATACATGAAGTAGATCGGCCAACACCGCCGAGAACGGCGGCTATCGGCAGCCTGCCGCTGCCAGTATCGACCCTCAGGTCTAGATCTAGATAATGTGGCAAAATGTGTTGTTCGCGGCCGCCGCCAGCTCCGCCGGCACGCTTCGAGCCGCGCACGCAACCGGCATTAGTTTGTAGGCACTGCATACATGAAGTAGAACGGCCAACACCGCCGAGAACGGCGGCTATCGGCAGCCTGCCGCTGCCAGTATCGACCCTCAGGTCTAGATTTTGAAAATGTGGCAAAATGTGTTGTTCGCGGCCGCCGCCAGCTCCGCCGGCACGATTCGAGCCGCGCACGCGACCGGCATTAATTTGTAGGCACTGCATACGTAAAGTAGAACGGCCAACACCGCCGAGAAGGGCGGCTATCGGCAGCCTGCCGCTGCCAGTATCGACCCTCAGGTCTAGATCTAGATAATGTGGCAAAATGTGTTGTTCGCGGCCGCCGCCAGCTCCGACGGCACGATTCGAGCCGCGCACGCGACCGGCAATTGTTTGTAGGCACTGCATACATGAAGTAGAACGGCCAACACCGCCGAGAACGGCGGCTATCGGCAGCCTGCCGCTGCCAGTATCGACCCTCAGGTCTAGATCTAGATAATGTGGCAAAATGTGTTGTTCGCGGCCGCCGCCAGCTCCGCCGGCACGATTCGAGCCGCGCACGCGACCGGCAATTGTTTGTAGGCACTGCATACGTAAAGTAGAACGGCCAACACCGCCGAGAACGGCGGCTATCGGCAGCCTGCCGCTGCTAGTATCGACCCTCAGGTCTAGATCTAGATAATGTGGCAAAATGTGTTGTTCGCGGCCGCCGCCAGCTCCGCCGGCACGATTCGAGACGCGCACGCGACCGGCAATTGTTTGTAGGCACTGCATACGTAAAGTAGAACGGCCAACACCGCCGAGAACGGCGGCTATCGGCAGCCTGCCGCTGCTAGTATCGACCCTCAGGTCTAGATCTAGATAATGTGGCAAAATGTGTTGTTCGCGGCCGCCGCCAGCTCCGCCGGCACGATTCGAGACGCGCACGCGACCGGCAATTGTTTGTAGGCACTGCATACATGAAGTAGAACGGCCAACACCGCCGAGAACGGCGGCTATCGGCAGCCTGCCGCTGCCAGTATCGACCCTCAGGTCTAGATTTTGAAAATGTGGCAAAATGTGTTGTTCGCGGCCGCCGCCAGCTCCGCCGGCACGATTCGAGCCGCGCACGCGACCGGCAATTGTTTGTAGGCACTGCATACATGAAGTTGAACGGCCAACACCGCCGAGAACGGCGGCTATCGGCAGCCTGCCGCTGCCAGTATCGACCCTCAGGTCTAGATCTAGATAATGTGGCAAAATGTGTTGTTCGCGGCCGCCGCCAGCTCCGACAGCACGATTCGAGCCGCGCACGCGACCGGCAATTGTTTGTAGGCACTGCATACATGAAGTAGAACGGCCAACACCGCCGAGAACGGCGGCTATCGGCAGCCTGCCGCTGCCAGTATCGACCCTCAGGTCTAGATCTAGATAATGTGGCAAAATGTGTTGTTCGCGGCCGCCGCCAGCTCCGCCGGCACGATTCGAGCCGCGCACGCGACCGGCAATTGTTTGTAGGCACTGCATACATGAAGTAGAACGGCCAACACCGCCGAGAACGGCGGCTATCGGCAGCCTGCCGCTGCCAGTATCGACCCTCAGGTCTAGATCTAGATAATGTGGCAAAATGTGTTGTTCGCGGCCGCCGCCAGCTCCGCCGGCACGATTCGAGCCGCGCACGCGACCGGCATTAGTTTGTAGGCACTGCATACATGAAGTAGAACGGCCAACACCGCCGAGAACGGCGGCTATCGGCAGCCTGCCGCTGCCAGTATCGACCCTCAGGTCTAGATCTAGATAATGTGGCAAAATGTGTTGTTCGCGGCCGCCGCCAGCTCCGCCGGCACGATTCGAGCCGCGCACGCGACCGGCAATTGTTTGTAGGCACTGCATACATGAAGTAGAACGGCCAACACCGCCGAGAACGGCGGCTATCGGCAGCCTGCCGCTGCCAGTATCGACCCTCAGGTCTAGATCTAGATAATGTGGCAAAATGTGTTGTTCGCGGCCGCCGCCAGCTCCGCCGGCACGATTCGAGCCGCGCACGCGACCGGCAATTGTTTGTAGGCACTGCATACGTAAAGTAGAACGGCCAACACCGCCGAGAACGGCGGCTATCGGCAGCCTGCCGCTGCTAGTATCGACCCTCAGGTCTAGATCTAGATAATGTGGCAAAATGTGTTGTTCGCGGCCGCCGCCAGCTCCGCCGGCACGATTCGAGCCGCGCACGCGACCGGCAATTGTTTGTAGGCACTGCATACGTAAAGTAGAACGGCCAACACCGCCGAGAACGGCGGCTATCGGCAGCCTGCCGCTGCTAGTATCGACCCTCAGGTCTAGATCTAGATAATGTGGCAAAATGTGTTGTTCGCGGCCGCCGCCAGCTCCGCCGGCACGATTCGAGACGCGCACGCGACCGGCAATTGTTTGTAGGCACTGCATACGTAAAGTAGAACGGCCAACACCGCCGAGAACGGCGGCTATCGGCAGCCTGCCGCTGCTAGTATCGACCCTCAGGTCTAGATCTAGATAATGTGGCAAAATGTGTTGTTCGCGGCCGCCGCCAGCTCCGCCGGCACGATTCGAGACGCGCACGCGACCGGCAATTGTTTGTAGGCACTGCATACATGAAGTAGAACGGCCAACACCGCCGAGAACGGCGGCTATCGGCAGCCTGCCGCTGCCAGTATCGACCCTCAGGTCTAGATCTAGATAATGTGGCAAAATGTGTTGTTCGCGGCCGCCGCCAGCTCCGCCGGCACGATTCGAGCCGCGCACGCGACCGGCATTAGTTTGTAGGCACTGCATACATGAAGTAGAACGGCCAACACCGCCGAGAACGGCGGCTATCGGCAGCCTGCCGCTGCTAGTATCGACCCTCAGGTCTAGATCTAGATAATGTGGCAAAATGTGTTGTTCGCGGCCGCCGCCAGCTCCGCCGGCACGATTCGAGCCGCGCACGCGACCGGCAATTGTTTGTAGGCACTGCATACATGAAGTAGAACGGCCAACACCGCCGAGAACGGCGGCTATCGGCAGCCTGCCGCTGCTAGTATCGACCCTCAGGTCTAGATCTAGATAATGTGGCAAAATGTGTTGTTCGCGGCCGCCGCCAGCTCCGCCGGCACGATTCGAGCCGCGCACGCGACCGGCAATTGTTTGTAGGCACTGCATACATGAAGTAGAACGGCCAACACCGCCGAGAACGGCGGCTATCGGCAGCCTGCCGCTGCCAGTATCGACCCTCAGGTCTAGATTTTGATAATGTGGCAAAATGTGTTGTTCGCGGCCGCCGCCAGCTCCGCCGGCACGATTCGAGCCGCGCACGCGACCGGCATTAGTTTGTAGGCACTGCATACATGAAGTAGAATGGCCAACACCGCCGAGAACGGCGGCTATCGGCAGCCTGCCGCTGCCAGTATCGACCCTCAGGTCTAGATCTAGATAATGTGGCAAAATGTGTTGTTCGCGGCCGCCGCCAGCTCCGCCGGCACGATTCGAGCCGCGCACGCGACCGGCATTAGTTTGTAGGCACTGCATACATGAAGTAGAACGGCCAACACCGCCGAGAACGGCGGCTATCGGCAGCCTGCCGCTGCCAGTATCGACCCTCAGGTCTAGATTTTGAAAATGTGGCAAAATGTGTTGTTCGCGGCCGCCGCCAGCTCCGCCGGCACGCTTCGAGCCGCGCACGCGACCGGCATTAGTTTGTAGGCACTGCATACATAAAGTAGAACGGCCAACACCGCCGAGAACGGCGGCTATCGGCAGCCTGCCGCTGCCAGTATCGACCCTCAGGTCTAGATCTAGATAATGTGGCAAAATGTGTTGTTCGCGGCCGCCGCCAGCTCCGCCGGCACGATTCGAGCCGCGCACGCGACCGGCATTAGTTTGTAGGCACTGCATACATGAAGTAGAACGGCCAACACCGCCGAGAACGGCGGCTATCGGCAGCCTGCCGCTGCCAGTATCGACCCTCAGGTCTAGATCTAGATAATGTGGCAAAATGTGTTGTTCGCGGCCGCCGCCAGCTCCGCCGGCACGATTCGAGCCGCGCACGCGACCGGCATTAGTTTGTAGGCACTGCATACATGAAGTAGAATGGCCAACACCGCCGAGAACGGCGGCTATCGGCAGCCTGCCGCTGCCAGTATCGACCCTCAGGTCTAGATCTAGATAATGTGGCAAAATGTGTTGTTCGCGGCCGCCGCCAGCTCCGCCGGCACGATTCGAGCCGCGCACGCGACCGGCATTAGTTTGTAGGCACTGCATACATGAAGTAGAACGGCCAACACCGCCGAGAACGGCGGCTATCGGCAGCCTGCCGCTGCCAGTATCGACCCTCAGGTCTAGATCTAGATAATGTGGCAAAATGTGTTGTTCGCGGCCGCCGCCAGCTCCGCCGGCACGATTCGAGCCGCGCACGCGACCGGCATTAGTTTGTAGGCACTGCATACATGAAGTAGAACGGCCAACACCGCCGAGAACGGCGGCTGTCGGCAGCCTGCCGCTGCTAGTATCGACCCTCAGGTCTAGATTTTGAAAATGTGGCAAAATGTGTTGTTCGCGGCCGCCGCCAGCTCCGCCGGCACGATTCGAGCCGCGCACGCGACCGGCATTAGTTTGTAGGCACTGCATACATGAAGTAGAACGGCCAACACCGCCGACAACGGCGGCTGTCGGCAGCCTGCCGCTGCTAGTATCGACCCTCAGGTCTAGATTTTGAAAATGTGGCAAAATGTGTTGTTCGCGGCCGCCGCCAGCTCCGCCGGCACGATTCGAGCCGCGCACGCGACCGGCATTAGTTTGTAGGCACTGCATACATGAAGTTGAACGGCCAACACCGCCGAGAACGGCGGCTATCGGCAGCCTGCCGCTGCCAGTATCGACCCTCAGGTCTAGATCTAGATAATGTGGCAAAATGTGTTGTTCGCGGCCGCCGCCAGCTCCGCCGGCACGATTCGAGCCGCGCACGCGACCGGCATTAGTTTGTAGGCACTGCATACGTAAAGTAGAATGGCCAACACCGCCGAGAACGGCGGCTATCGGCAGCCTGCCGCTGCCAGTATCGACCCTCAGGTCTAGATTTTGAAAATGTGGCAAAATGTGTTGTTCGCGGCCACCGCCAGCTCCGCCGGCACGCTTCGAGCCGCGCACGCGACCGGCATTAGTTTGTAGGCACTGCATACGTAAAGTAGAATGGCCAACACCGCCGAGAACGGCGGCTATCGGCAGCCTGCCGCTGCCAGTATCGACCCTCAGGTCTAGATCTAGATAATGTGGCAAAATGTGTTGTTCGCGGCCGCCGCCAGCTCCGCCGGCACGATTCGAGCCGCGCACGCGACCGGCATTAGTTTGTAGGCACTGCATACATGAAGTAGAACGGCCAACACCGCCGAGAACGGCGGCTATCGGCAGCCTGCCGCTGCCAGTATCGACCCTCAGGTCTAGATCTAGATAATGTGGCAAAATGTGTTGTTCGCGGCCGCCGCCAGCTCCGCCGGCACGATTCGAGCCGCGCACGCGACCGGCATTAGTTTGTAGGCACTGCATACATGAAGTAGAACGGCCAACACCGCCGAGAACGGCGGCTATCGGCAGCCTGCCGCTGCCAGTATCGACCCTCAGGTCTAGATCTAGATAATGTGGCAAAATGTGTTGTTCGCGGCCGCCGCCAGCTCCGCCGGCACGATTCGAGCCGCGCACGCGACCGGCATTAGTTTGTAGGCACTGCATACATGAAGTTGAACGGCCAACACCGCCGAGAACGGCGGCTATCGGCAGCCTGCCGCTGCCAGTATCGACCCTCAGGTCTAGATCTAGATAATGTGGCAAAATGTGTTGTTCGCGGCCGCCGCCAGCTCCGCCGGCACGATTCGAGCCGCGCACGCGACCGGCAATTGTTTGTAGGCACTGCATACGTGAAGTAGAACGGCCAACACCGCCGAGAACGGCGGCTATCGGCAGCCTGCCGCTGCTAGTATCGACCCTCAGGTCTAGATCTAGATAATGTGGCAAAATGTGTTGTTCGCGGCCGCCGCCAGCTCCGCCGGCACGATTCGAGACGCGCACGCGACCGGCAATTGTTTGTAGGCACTGCATACGTAAAGTAGAACGGCCAACACCGCCGAGAACGGCGGCTATCGGCAGCCTGCCGCTGCTAGTATCGACCCTCAGGTCTAGATCTAGATAATGTGGCAAAATGTGTTGTTCGCGGCCGCCGCCAGCTCCGCCGGCACGATTCGAGACGCGCACGCGACCGGCAATTGTTTGTAGGCACTGCATACATGAAGTAGAACGGCCAACACCGCCGAGAACGGCGGCTATCGGCAGCCTGCCGCTGCCAGTATCGACCCTCAGGTCTAGATCTAGATAATGTGGCAAAATGTGTTGTTCGCGGCCGCCGCCAGCTCCGCCGGCACGATTCGAGCCGCGCACGCGACCGGCATTAGTTTGTAGGCACTGCATACATGAAGTTGAACGGCCAACACCGCCGAGAACGGCGGCTATCGGCAGCCTGCCGCTGCCAGTATCGACCCTCAGGTCTAGATTTTGAAAATGTGGCAAAATGTGTTGTTCGCGGCCGCCGCCAGCTCCGCCGGCACGATTCGAGCCGCGCACGCGACCGGCATTAGTTTGTACGCACTGCATACGTGAAGTAGAACGGCCAACACCGCCGAGAACGGCGGCTATCGGCAGCCTGCCGCTGCCAGTATCGACCCTCAGGTCTAGATTTTGAAAATGTGGCAAAATGTGTTGTTCGCGGCCGCCGCCAGCTCCGCCGGCACGATTCGAGCCGCGCACGCGACCGGCATTAGTTTGTAGGCACTGCATACGTAAAGTAGAATGGCCAACACCGCCGAGAACGGCGGCTATCGGCAGCCTGCCGCTGCCAGTATCGACCCTCAGGTCTAGATCTAGATAATGTGGCAAAATGTGTTGTTCGCGGCCGCCGCCAGCTCCGCCGGCACGATTCGAGCCGCGCACGCGACCGGCAATAGTTTGTAGGCACTGCATACATGAAGTAGAATGGCCAACACCGCCGAGAACGGCGGCTATCGGCAGCCTGCCGCTGCCAGTATCGACCCTCAGGTCTAGATCTAGATAATGTGGCAAAATGTGTTGTTCGCGGCCGCCGCCAGCTCCGCCGGCACGATTCGAGCCGCGCACGCGACCGGCAATTGTTTGTAGGCACTGCATACATGAAGTAGAACGGCCAACACCGCCGAGAACGGCGGGTATCGGCAGCCTGCCGCTGCTAGTATCGACCCTCAGGTCTAGATCTAGATAATGTGGCAAAATGTGTTGTTCGCGGCCGCCGCCAGCTCCGCCGGCACGATTCGAGCCGCGCACGCGACCGGCAATTGTTTGTAGGCACTGCATACGTAAAGTAGAACGGCCAACACCGCCGAGAACGGCGGCTATCGGCAGCCTGCCGCTGCCAGTATCGACCCTCAGGTCTAGATCTAGATAATGTGGCAAAATGTGTTGTTCGCGGCCGCCGCCAGCTCCGCCGGCACGATTCGAGCCGCGCACGCGACCGGCAATAGTTTGTAGGCACTGCATACGTAAAGTAGAACGGCCAACACCGCCGAGAACGGCGGCTATCGGCAGCCTGCCGCTGCCAGTATCGACCCTCAGGTCTAGATCTAGATAATGTGGCAAAATGTGTTGTTCGCGGCCGCCGCCAGCTCCGCCGGCACGATTCGAGCCGCGCACGCGACCGGCATTAGTTTGTAGGCACTGCATACATGAAGTAGAACGGCCAACACCGCCGAGAACGGCGGCTATCGGCAGCCTGCCGCTGCCAGTATCGACCCTCAGGTCTAGATCTAGATAATGTGGCAAAATGTGTTGTTCGCGGCCGCCGCCAGCTCCGCCGGCACGCTTCGAGCCGCGCACGCGACCGGCATTAGTTTGTAGGCACTGCATACATGAAGTAGAACGGCCAACACCGCCGAGAACGGTGGCTATCGGCAGCCTGCAGCTGCCAGTATCGACCCTCAGGTCTAGATCTAGATAATGTGGCAAAATGTGTTGTTCGCGGCCGCCGCCAGCTCCGCCGGCACGCTTCGAGCCGCGCACGCGACCGGCATTAGTTTGTAGGCACTGCATACATGAAGTAGAACGGCCAACACCGCCGAGAACGGCGGCTATCGGCAGCCTGCCGCTGCCAGTATCGACCCTCAGGTCTAGATCTAGATAATGTGGCAAAATGTGTTGTTCGCGGCCGCCGCCAGCTCCGCCGGCACGATTCGAGCCGCGCACGCGACCGGCATTAGTTTGTAGGCACTGCATACATGAAGTTGAACGGCCAACACCGCCGAGAACGGCGGCTATCGGCAGCCTGCCGCTGCCAGTATCGACCCTCAGGTCTAGATCTAGATAATGTGGCAAAATGTGTTGTTCGCGGCCGCCGCCAGCTCCGCCGGCACGATTCGAGCCGCGCACGCGACCGGCAATTGTTTGTAGGCACTGCATACATGAAGTAGAACGGCCAACACCGCCGAGAACGGCGGCTATCGGCAGCCTGCCGCTGCTAGTATCGACCCTCAGGTCTAGATCTAGATAATGTGGCAAAATGTGTTGTTCGCGGCCGCCGTCAGCTCCGCCGGCACGATTCGAGACGCGCACGCGACCGGCATTAGTTTGTACGCACTGCATACATGAAGTAGAACGGCCAACACCGCCGAGAACGGCGGCTATCGGCAGCCTGCCGCTGCCAGTATCGACCCTCAGGTCTAGATTTTGAAAATGTGGCAAAATGTGTTGTTCGCGGCCGCCGCCAGCTCCGCCGGCACGATTCGAGCCGCGCACGCGACCGGCATTAGTTTGTAGGCACTGCATACATGAAGTAGAACGGCCAACACCGCCGAGAACGGCGGCTATCGGCAGCCTGCCGCTGCCAGTATCGACCCTCAGGTCTAGATTTTGAAAATGTGGCAAAATGTGTTGTTCGCGGCCGCCGCCAGCTCCGCCGGCACGATTCGAGCCGCGCACGCGACCGGCATTAGTTTGTAGGCACTGCATACATGAAGTAGAACGGCCAACACCGCCGAGAACGGCGGCTATCGGCAGCCTGCCGCTGCCAGTATCGACCCTCAGGTCTAGATCTAGATAATGTGGCAAATGTGTTGTTCGCGGCCGCCGCCAGCTCCGCCGGCACGATTCGAGACGCGCACGCGACCGGCATTAGTTTGTAGGCACTGCATACATGAAGTAGAACGGCCAACACCGCCGAGAACGGCGGCTATCGGCAGCCTGCCGCTGCCAGTATCGACCCTCAGGTCTAGATCTAGATAATGTGGCAAAATGTGTTGTTCGCGGCCGCCGCCAGCTCCGCCGGCACGATTCGAGCCGCGCACGCGACCGGCAATTGTTTGTAGGCACTGCATACATGAAGTAGAACGGCCAACACCGCCGAGAACGGCGGCTGTCGGCAGCCTGCCGCTGCCAGTATCGACCCTCAGGTCTAGATCTAGATAATGTGGCAAAATGTGTTGTTCGCGGCCGCCGCCAGCTCCGCCGGCACGATTCGAGCCGCGCACGCGACCGGCAATTGTTTGTAGGCACTGCATACATGAAGTAGAACGGCCAACACCGCCGAGAACGGCGGCTATCGGCAGCCTGCCGCTGCCAGTATCGACCCTCAGGTCTAGATCTAGATAATGTGGCAAAATGTGTTGTTCGCGGCCGCCGCCAGCTCCGCCGGCACGATTCGAGCCGCGCACGCGACCGGCATTAGTTTGTAGGCACTGCATACATGAAGTAGAACGGCCAACACCGCCGAGAACGGCGGCTATCGGCAGCCTGCCGCTGCCAGTATCGACCCTCAGGTCTAGATCTAGATAATGTGGCAAAATGTGTTGTTCGCGGCCGCCGCCAGCTCCGCCGGCACGATTCGAGCCGCGCACGCGACCGGCAATTGTTTGTAGGCACTGCATACATGAAGTAGAACGGCCAACACCGCCGAGAACGGCGGCTATCGGCAGCCTGCCGCTGCCAGTATCGACCCTCAGGTCTAGATCTAGATAATGTGGCAAAATGTGTTGTTCGCGGCCGCCGCCAGCTCCGCCGGCACGATTCGAGCCGCGCACGCGACCGGCATTAGTTTGTAGGCACTGCATACATGAAGTTGAACGGCCAACACCGCCGAGAACGGCGGCTATCGGCAGCCTGCCGCTGCCAGTATCGACCCTCAGGTCTAGATCTAGATAATGTGGCAAAATGTGTTGTTCGCGGCCGCCGCCAGCTCCGCCGGCACGATTCGAGCCGCGCACGCGACCGGCATTAGTTTGTAGGCACTGCATACATGAAGTAGAACGGCCAACACCGCCGAGAACGGCGGCTATCGGCAGCCTGCCGCTGCCAGTATCGACCCTCAGGTCTAGATCTAGATAATGTGGCAAAATGTGTTGTTCGCGGCCGCCGCCAGCTCCGCCGGCACGATTCGAGCCGCGCACGCGACCGGCAATTGTTTGTAGGCACTGCATACATGAAGTAGAACGGCCAACACCGCCGAGAACGGCGGCTGTCGGCAGCCTGCCGCTGCTAGTATCGACCCTCAGGTCTAGATCTAGATAATGTGGCAAAATGTGTTGTTCGCGGCCGCCGTCAGCTCCGCCGGCACGATTCGAGCCGCGCACGCGACCGGCATTAGTTTGTAGGCACTGCATACATGAAGTAGAACGGCCAACACCGCCGAGAACGGCGGCTATCGGCAGCCTGCCGCTGCCAGTATCGACCCTCAGGTCTAGATCTAGATAATGTGGCAAAATGTGTTGTTCGCGGCCGCCGCCAGCTCCGCCGGCACGATTCGAGACGCGCACGCGACCGGCAATTGTTTGTAGGCACTGCATACATGAAGTAGAACGGCCAACACCGCCGAGAACGGCGGCTATCGGCAGCCTGCCGCTGCCAGTATCGACCCTCAGGTCTAGATCTAGATAATGTGGCAAAATGTGTTGTTCGCGGCCGCCGCCAGCTCCGACGGCACGCTTCGAGCCGCGCACGCGATCGGCATTAGTTTATAGGCACTGCATACGTAAAGTAGAACGGCCAACACCGCCGAGAACGGCGGCTATCGGCAGCCTGCCGCTGCCAGTATCGACCCTCAGGTCTAGATCTAGATAATGTGGCAAAATGTGTTGTTCGCGGCCGCCGCCAGCTCCGCCGGCACGATTCGAGACGCGCACGCGACCGGCATTAGTTTGTACGCACTGCATACATGAAGTAGAACGGCCAACACCGCCGAGAACGGCGGCTATCGGCAGCCTGCCGCTGCCAGTATCGACCCTCAGGTCTAGATCTAGATAATGTGGCAAAATGTGTTGTTCGCGGCCGCCGCCAGCTCCGCCGGCACGATTCGAGCCGCGCACGCGACCGGCAATTGTTTGTAGGCACTGCATACATGAAGTAGAACGGCCAACACCGCCGAGAACGGCGGCTATCGGCAGCCTGCCGCTGCCAGTATCGACCCTCAGGTCTAGATCTAGATAATGTGGCAAAATGTGTTGTTCGCGGCCGCCGCCAGCTCCGCCGGCACGATTCGAGCCGCGCACGCGACCGGCATTAGTTTGTAGGCACTGCATACATGAAGTAGATCGGCCAACACCGCCGAGAACGGCGGCTATCGGCAGCCTGCCGCTGCCAGTATCGACCCTCAGGTCTAGATCTAGATAATGTGGCAAAATGTGTTGTTCGCGGCCACCGCCAGCTCCGCCGGCACGATTCGAGCCGCGCACGCGACCGGCATTAGTTTGTAGGCACTGCATACATGAAGTAGAACGGCCAACACCGCCGAGAACGGCGGCTATCGGCAGCCTGCCGCTGCCAGTATCGACCCTCAGGTCTAGATTTTGAAAATGTGGCAAAATGTGTTGTTCGCGGCCGCCGCCAGCTCCGCCGGCACGCTTCGAGCCGCGCACGCGACCGGCATTAGTTTGTAGGCACTGCATACGTAAAGTAGAATGGCCAACACCGCCGAGAACGGCGGCTATCGGCAGCCTGCCGCTGCCAGTATCGACCCTCAGGTCTAGATCTAGATAATGTGGCAAAATGTGTTGTTCGCGGCCGCCGCCAGCTCCGCCGGCACGCTTCGAGCCGCGCACGCGACCGGCATTAGTTTGTAGGCACTGCATACGTAAAGTAGAGTGGCCAACACCGCCGAGAACGGCGGCTATCGGCAGCCTGCCGCTGCCAGTATCGACCCTCAGGTCTAGATTTTGAAAATGTGGCAAAATGTGTTGTTCGCGGCCACCGCCAGCTCCGCCGGCACGATTCGAGCCGCGCACGCGACCGGCATTAGTTTGTAGGCACTGCATACATGAAGTAGAACGGCCAACACCGCCGAGAACGGCGGCTATCGGCAGCCTGCCGCTGCCAGTATCGACCCTCAGGTCTAGATCTAGATAATGTGGCAAAATGTGTTGTTCGCGGCCGCCGCCAGCTCCGCCGGCACGATTCGAGCCGCGCACGCGACCGGCATTAGTTTGTAGGCACTGCATACATGAAGTAGAACGGCCAACACCGCCGAGAACGGCGGCTATCGGCAGCCTGCCGCTGCCAGTATCGACCCTCAGGTCTAGATCTAGATAATGTGGCAAAATGTGTTGTTCGCGGCCGCCGCCAGCTGTGCCGGCACGATTCGAGCCGCGCACGCGACCGGCAATTGTTTGTAGGCACTGCATACATGAAGTAGAATGGCCAACACCGCCGAGAACGGCGGCTATCGGCAGCCTGCCGCTGCCAGTATCGACCCTCAGGTCTAGATCTAGATAATGTGGCAAAATGTGTTGTTCGCGGCCGCCGCCAGCTCCGCCGGCACGATTCGAGCCGCGCACGCGACCGGCATTAGTTTGTACGCACTGCATACATGAAGTAGAACGGCCAACACCGCCGAGAACGGCGGCTATCGGCAGCCTGCCGCTGCCAGTATCGACCCTCAGGTCTAGATCTAGATAATGTGGCAAAATGTGTTGTTCGCGGCCGCCGCCAGCTCCGCCGGCACGATTCGAGCCGCGCACGCGACCGGCATTAGTTTGTAGGCACTGCATACATGAAGTAGAACGGCCAACACCGCCGAGAACGGCGGCTATCGGCAGCCTGCCGCTGCCAGTATCGACCCTCAGGTCTAGATCTAGATAATGTGGCAAAATGTGTTGTTCGCGGCCGCCGCCAGCTCCGCCGGCACGATTCGAGCCGCGCACGCGACCGGCATTAGTTTGTAGGCACTGCATACATGAAGTAGAACGGCCAACACCGCCGAGAACGGCGGCTATCGGCAGCCTGCCGCTGCCAGTATCGACCCTCAGGTCTAGATCTAGATAATGTGGCAAAATGTGTTGTTCGCGGCCGCCGCCAGCTCCGCCGGCACGATTCGAGCCGCGCACGCGACCGGCAATAGTTTGTAGGCACTGCATACATGAAGTAGAACGGCCAACACCGCCGAGAACGGCGGCTATCGGCAGCCTGCCGCTGCCAGTATCGACCCTCAGGTCTAGATCTAGATAATGTGGCAAAATGTGTTGTTCGCGGCCGCCGCCAGCTCCGCCGGCACGATTCGAGCCGCGCACGCGACCGGCATTAGTTTGTAGGCACTGCATACATGAAGTAGAACGGCCAACACCGCCGAGAACGGCGGCTATCGGCAGCCTGCCGCTGCTAGTATCGACCCTCAGGTCTAGATCTAGATAATGTGGCAAAATGTGTTGTTCGCGGCCGCCGCCAGCTCCGCCGGCACGATTCGAGACGCGCACGCGACCGGCATTAGTTTGTAGGCACTGCATACGTAAAGTAGAACGGCCAACACCGCCGAGAACGGCGGCTATCGGCAGCCTGCCGCTGCCAGTATCGACCCTCAGGTCTAGATCTAGATAATGTGGCAAAATGTGTTGTTCGCGGCCGCCGCCAGCTCCGCCGGCACGATTCGAGCCGCGCACGCGACCGGCATTAGTTTGTAGGCACTGCATACGTAAAGTAGAACGGCCAACACCGCCGAGAACGGCGGCTATCGGCAGCCTGCCGCTGCCAGTATCGACCCTCAGGTCTAGATCTAGATAATGTGGCAAAATGTGTTGTTCGCGGCCGCCGCCAGCTCCGCCGGCACGATTCGAGCCGCGCACGCGACCGGCATTAGTTTGTAGGCACTGCATACATAAAGTTGAACGGCCAACACCGCCGAGAACGGCGGCTATCGGCAGCCTGCCGCTGCCAGTATCGACCCTCAGGTCTAGATCTAGATAATGTGGCAAAATGTGTTGTTCGCGGCCGCCGCCAGCTCCGCCGGCACGATTCGAGCCGCGCACGCGACCGGCATTAGTTTGTAGGCACTGCATACATAAAGTTGAACGGCCAACACCGCCGAGAACGGCGGCTATCGGCAGCCTGCCGCTGCCAGTATCGACCCTCAGGTCTAGATCTAGATAATGTGGCAAAATGTGTTGTTCGCGGCCGCCGCCAGCTCCGCCGGCACGATTCGAGCCGCGCACGCGACCGGCAATAGTTTGTAGGCACTGCATACATGAAGTAGAACGGCCAACACCGCCGAGAACGGCGGCTATCGGCAGCCTGCCGCTGCCAGTATCGACCCTCAGGTCTAGATCTAGATAATGTGGCAAAATGTGAACGGCCAACACCGCCGAGAACGGCGGCTATCGGCAGCCTGCCGCTGCCAGTATCGACCCTCAGGTCTAGATCTAGATAATGTGGCAAAATGTGTTGTTCGCGGCCGCCGCCAGCTCCGCCGGCACGATTCGCCGCCGCCAGCTCCGCCGGCACGATTCGAGACGCGCACGCGACCGGCATTAGTTTGTAGGCACTGCATACGTAAAGTAGAACGGCCAACACCGCCGAGAACGGCGGCTATCGGCAGCCTGCCGCTGCCAGTATCGACCCTCAGGTCTAGATCTAGATAATGTGGCAAAATGTGTTGTTCGCGGCCGCCGCCAGCTCCGCCGGCACGATTCGAGACGCGCACGCGACCGGCATTAGTTTGTAGGCACTGCATACGTAAAGTAGAACGGCCAACACCGCCGAGAACGGCGGCTATCGGCAGCCTGCCGCTGCCAGTATCGACCCTCAGGTCTAGATCTAGATAATGTGGCAAAATGTGTTGTTCGCGGCCGCCGCCAGCTCCGCCGGCACGATTCGAGCCGCGCACGCGACCGGCATTAGTTTGTAGGCACTGCATACATAAAGTTGAACGGCCAACACCGCCGAGAACGGCGGCTATCGGCAGCCTGCCGCTGCCAGTATCGACCCTCAGGTCTAGATCTAGATAATGTGGCAAAATGTGTTGTTCGCGGCCGCCGCCAGCTCCGCCGGCACGATTCGAGCCGCGCACGCGACCGGCATTAGTTTGTAGGCACTGCATACATAAAGTTGAACGGCCAACACCGCCGAGAACGGCGGCTATCGGCAGCCTGCCGCTGCCAGTATCGACCCTCAGGTCTAGATCTAGATAATGTGGCAAAATGTGTTGTTCGCGGCCGCCGCCAGCTCCGCCGGCACGATTCGAGCCGCGCACGCGACCGGCAATAGTTTGTAGGCACTGCATACATGAAGTAGAACGGCCAACACCGCCGAGAACGGCGGCTATCGGCAGCCTGCCGCTGCCAGTATCGACCCTCAGGTCTAGATCTAGATAATGTGGCAAAATGTGTTGTTCGCGGCCGCCGCCAGCTCCGCCGGCACGATTCGAGCCGCGCACGCGACCGGCAATTGTTTGTAGGCACTGCATACGTGAAGTAGAACGGCCAACACCGCCGAGAACGGCGGCTATCGGCAGCCTGCCGCTGCTAGTATCGACCCTCAGGTCTAGATCTAGATAATGTGGCAAAATGTGTTGTTCGCGGCCGCCGCCAGCTCCGCCGGCACGATTCGAGCCGCGCACGCGACCGGCAATTGTTTGTAGGCACTGCATACGTAAAGTAGAACGGCCAACACCGCCGAGAACGGCGGCTATCGGCAGCCTGCCGCTGCTAGTATCGACCCTCAGGTCTAGATCTAGATAATGTGGCAAAATGTGTTGTTCGCGGCCGCCGCCAGCTCCGCCGGCACGATTCGAGACGCGCACGCGACCGGCAATTGTTTGTAGGCACTGCATACGTAAAGTAGAACGGCCAACACCGCCGAGAACGGCGGCTATCGGCAGCCTGCCGCTGCTAGTATCGACCCTCAGGTCTAGATCTAGATAATGTGGCAAAATGTGTTGTTCGCGGCCGCCGCCAGCTCCGCCGGCACGATTCGAGACGCGCACGCGACCGGCAATTGTTTGTAGGCACTGCATACATGAAGTAGAACGGCCAACACCGCCGAGAACGGCGGCTATCGGCAGCCTGCCGCTGCCAGTATCGACCCTCAGGTCTAGATCTAGATAATGTGGCAAAATGTGTTGTTCGCGGCCGCCGCCAGCTCCGCCGGCACGATTCGAGCCGCGCACGCGACCGGCAATAGTTTGTAGGCACTGCATACATGAAGTAGAACGGCCAACACCGCCGAGAACGGCGGCTATCGGCAGCCTGCCGCTGCCAGTATCGACCCTCAGGTCTAGATCTAGATAATGTGGCAAAATGTGTTGTTCGCGGCCGCCGCCAGCTCCGCCGGCACGATTCGAGCCGCGCACGCGACCGGCAATTGTTTGTAGGCACTGCATACATGAAGTAGAACGGCCAACACCGCCGAGAACGGCGGCTATCGGCAGCCTGCCGCTGCCAGTATCGACCCTCAGGTCTAGATCTAGATAATGTGGCAAAATGTGTTGTTCGCGGCCGCCGCCAGCTCCGCCGGCACGATTCGAGCCGCGCACGCGACCGGCAATTGTTTGTAGGCACTGCATACATGAAGTAGAACGGCCAACACCGCCGAGAACGGCGGCTGTCGGCAGCCTGCCGCTGCTAGTATCGACCCTCAGGTCTAGATCTAGATAATGTGGCAAAATGTGTTGTTCGCGGCCGCCGTCAGCTCCGCCGGCACGATTCGAGCCGCGCACGCGACCGGCATTAGTTTGTAGGCACTGCATACATGAAGTAGAACGGCCAACACCGCCGAGAACGGCGGCTATCGGCAGCCTGCCGCTGCCAGTATCGACCCTCAGGTCTAGATCTAGATAATGTGGCAAAATGTGTTGTTCGCGGCCGCCGCCAGCTGTGCCGGCACGATTCGAGCCGCGCACGCGACCGGCATTAGTTTGTAGGCACTGCATACATGAAGTAGAATGGCCAACACCGCCGAGAACGGCGGCTATCGGCAGCCTGCCGCTGCCAGTATCGACCCTCAGGTCTAGATCTAGATAATGTGGCAAAATGTGTTGTTCGCGGCCGCCGCCAGCTCCGCCGGCACGATTCGAGCCGCGCACGCGACCGGCATTAGTTTGTAGGCACTGCATACATGAAGTAGAACGGCCAACACCGCCGAGAACGGCGGCTATCGGCAGCCTGCCGCTGCCAGTATCGACCCTCAGGTCTAGATCTAGATAATGTGGCAAAATGTGTTGTTCGCGGCCGCCGCCAGCTCCGCCGGCACGATTCGAGCCGCGCACGCGACCGGCATTAGTTTGTAGGCACTGCATACATGAAGTAGAACGGCCAACACCGCCGAGAACGGCGGCTATCGGCAGCCTGCCGCTGCCAGTATCGACCCTCAGGTCTAGATCTAGATAATGTGGCAAAATGTGTTGTTCGCGGCCGCCGCCAGCTCCGCCGGCACGCTTCGAGCCGCGCACGCGACCGGCATTAGTTTGTAGGCACTGCATACATGAAGTAGAACGGCCAACACCGCCGAGAACGGTGGCTATCGGCAGCCTGCAGCTGCCAGTATCGACCCTCAGGTCTAGATCTAGATAATGTGGCAAAATGTGTTGTTCGCGGCCGCCGCCAGCTCCGCCGGCACGATTCGAGCCGCGCACGCGACCGGCATTAGTTTGTAGGCACTGCATACGTAAAGTAGAATGGCCAACACCGCCGAGAACGGCGGCTATCGGCAGCCTGCCGCTGCCAGTATCGACCCTCAGGTCTAGATTTTGAAAATGTGGCAAAATGTGTTGTTCGCGGCCGCCGCCAGCTCCGCCGGCACGATTCGAGCCGCGCACGCGACCGGCAATAGTTTGTAGGCACTGCATACGTAAAGTAGAATGGCCAACACCGCCGAGAACGGCGGCTATCGGCAGCCTGCCGCTGCCAGTATCGACCCTCAGGTCTAGATCTAGATAATGTGGCAAAATGTGTTGTTCGCGGCCGCCGCCAGCTCCGCCGGCACGATTCGAGCCGCGCACGCGACCGGCATTAGTTTGTAGGCACTGCATACATGAAGTAGAACGGCCAACACCGCCGAGAACGGCGGCTATCGGCAGCCTGCCGCTGCCAGTATCGACCCTCAGGTCTAGATCTAGATAATGTGGCAAAATGTGTTGTTCGCGGCCGCCGCCAGCTCCGCCGGCACGCTTCGAGCCGCGCACGCGACCGGCATTAGTTTGTAGGCACTGCATACATGAAGTAGAACGGCCAACACCGCCGAGAACGGCGGCTATCGGCAGCCTGCCGCTGCCAGTATCGACCCTCAGGTCTAGATCTAGATAATGTGGCAAAATGTGTTGTTCGCGGCCGCCGCCAGCTCCGCCGGCACGCTTCGAGCCGCGCACGCGACCGGCATTAGTTTGTAGGCACTGCATACATGAAGTAGAACGGCCAACACCGCCGAGAACGGCGGCTATCGGCAGCCTGCCGCTGCCAGTATCGACCCTCAGGTCTAGATCTAGATAATGTGGCAAAATGTGTTGTTCGCGGCCGCCGCCAGCTCCGCCGGCACGATTCGAGCCGCGCACGCGACCGGCATTAGTTTGTAGGCACTGCATACATGAAGTAGAACGGCCAACACCGCCGAGAACGGCGGCTATCGGCAGCCTGCCGCTGCCAGTATCGACCCTCAGGTCTAGATCTAGATAATGTGGCAAAATGTGTTGTTCGCGGCCGCCGCCAGCTCCGCCGGCACGATTCGAGCCGCGCACGCGACCGGCATTAGTTTGTAGGCACTGCATACATGAAGTAGATCGGCCAACACCGCCGAGAACGGCGGCTATCGGCAGCCTGCCGCTGCCAGTATCGACCCTCAGGTCTAGATCTAGATAATGTGGCAAAATGTGTTGTTCGCGGCCGCCGCCAGCTCCGCCGGCACGATTCAAGCCGCGCATGCGACCGGCATTAGTTTGTAGGCACTGCATACATGAAGTAGAACGGCCAACACCGCCGAGAACGGCGGCTATCGGCAGCCTGCCGCTGCCAGTATCGACCCTCAGGTCTAGATTTTGAAAATGTGGCAAAATGTGTTGTTCGCGGCCGCCGCCAGCTCCGCCGGCACGATTCGAGCCGCGCACGCGACCGGCATTAGTTTGTAGGCACTGCATACATGAAGTAGATCGGCCAACACCGCCGAGAACGGCGGCTATCGGCAGCCTGCCGCTGCCAGTATCGACCCTCAGGTCTAGATCTAGATAATGTGGCAAAATGTGTTGTTCGCGGCCGCCGGCAGCTCCGCCGGCACGCTTCGAGCCGCGCACGCGACCGGCATTAGTTTGTAGGCACTGCATACATGAAGTAGATCGGCCAACACCGCCGAGAACGGCGGCTATCGGCAGCCTGCCGCTGCCAGTATCGACCCTCAGGTCTAGATCTAGATAATGTGGCAAAATGTGTTGTTCGCGGCCGCCGCCAGCTCCGCCGGCACGATTCGAGCCGCGCACGCGACCGGCAATAGTTTGTAGGCACTGCATACATGAAGTAGAACGGCCAACACCGCCGAGAACGGCGGCTATCGGCAGCCTGCCGCTGCCAGTATCGACCCTCAGGTCTAGATCTAGATAATGTGGCAAAATGTGTTGTTCGCGGCCGCCGCCAGCTCCGCCGGCACGATTCGAGCCGCGCACGCGACCGGCATTAGTTTGTAGGCACTGCATACATGAAGTAGAACGGCCAACACCGCCGAGAACGGCGGCTATCGGCAGCCTGCCGCTGCCAGTATCGACCCTCAGGTCTAGATTTAGATAATGTGGCAAAATGTGTTGTTCGCGGCCGCCGCCAGCTCCGCCGGCACGCTTCGAGCCGCGCACGCGACCGGCATTAGTTTGTAGGCACTGCATACATGAAGTAGAATGGCCAACACCGCCGAGAACGGCGGCTATCGGCAGCCTGCCGCTGCCAGTATCGACCCTCAGGTCTAGATCTAGATAATGTGGCAAAATGTGTTGTTCGCGGCCGCCGCCAGCTCCGCCGGCACGCTTCGAGCCGCGCACGCGACCGGCATTAGTTTGTAGGCACTGCATACGTAAAGTAGAATGGCCAACACCGCCGAGAACGGCGGCTATCGGCAGCCTGCCGCTGCCAGTATCGACCCTCAGGTCTAGATTTTGAAAATGTGGCAAAATGTGTTGTTCGCGGCCACCGCCAGCTCCGCCGGCACGCTTCGAGCCGCGCACGCGACCGGCATTAGTTTGTAGGCACTGCATACGTAAAGTAGAATGGCCAACACCGCCGAGAACGGCGGCTATCGGCAGCCTGCCGCTGCCAGTATCGACCCTCAGGTCTAGATCTAGATAATGTGGCAAAATGTGTTGTTCGCGGCCGCCGCCAGCTCCGCCGGCACGATTCGAGCCGCGCACGCGACCGGCATTAGTTTGTAGGCACTGCATACATGAAGTAGAACGGCCAACACCGCCGAGAACGGCGGCTATCGGCAGCCTGCCGCTGCCAGTATCGACCCTCAGGTCTAGATCTAGATAATGTGGCAAAATGTGTTGTTCGCGGCCGCCGCCAGCTCCGCCGGCACGCTTCGAGCCGCGCACGCGACCGGCATTAGTTTGTAGGCACTGCATACATGAAGTAGAATGGCCAACACCGCCGAGAACGGCGGCTATCGGCAGCCTGCCGCTGCCAGTATCGACCCTCAGGTCTAGATCTAGATAATGTGGCAAAATGTGTTGTTCGCGGCCGCCGCCAGCTCCGCCGGCACGCTTCGAGCCGCGCACGCGACCGGCATTAGTTTGTAGGCACTGCATACGTAAAGTAGAACGGCCAACACCGCCGAGAACGGCGGCTATCGGCAGCCTGCCGCTGCCAGTATCGACCCTCAGGTCTAGATCTAGATAATGTGGCAAAATGTGTTGTTCGCGGCCGCCGCCAGCTCCGCCTGCACGCTTCGAGCCGCGCACGCGGCCGGCATTAGTTTGTAGGCACTGCATACGTAAAGTAGAACGGCCAACACCGCCGAGAACGGCGGCTATCGGCAGCCTGCCGCTGCCAGTATCGACCCTCAGGTCTAGATCTAGATAATGTGGCAAAATGTGTTGTTCGCGGCCGCCGCCAGCTCCGCCGGCACGATTCGAGCCGCGCACGCGACCGGCATTAGTTTGTAGGCACTGCATACGTAAAGTAGAATGGCCAACACCGCCGAGAACGGCGGCTATCGGCAGCCTGCCGCTGCCAGTATCGACCCTCAGGTCTAGATTTTGAAAATGTGGCAAAATGTGTTGTTCGCGGCCGCCGCCAGCTCCGCCGGCACGCTTCGAGCCGCGCACGCGACCGGCATTAGTTTGTAGGCACTGCATACATGAAGTAGAACGGCCAACACCGCCGAGAACGGCGGCTGTCGGCAGCCTGCCGCTGCCAGTATCGACCCTCAGGTCTAGATTTTGAAAATGTGGCAAAATGTGTTGTTCGCGGCCGCCGCCAGCTCCGCCGGCACGATTCGAGCCGCGCACGCGACCGGCATTAGTTTGTAGGCACTGCATACGTAAAGTAGAATGGCCAACACCGCCGAGAACGGCGGCTATCGGCAGCCTGCCGCTGCCAGTATCGACCCTCAGGTCTAGATCTAGATAATGTGGCAAAATGTGTTGTTCGCGGCCGCCGCCAGCTCCGCCGGCACGATTCGAGCCGCGCACGCGACCGGCATTAGTTTGTACGCACTGCATACGTGAAGTAGAACGGCCAACACCGCCGAGAACGGCGGCTATCGGCAGCCTGCCGCTGCCAGTATCGACCCTCAGGTCTAGATCTAGATAATGTGGCAAAATGTGTTGTTCGCGGCCGCCGCCAGCTCTGCCGGCACGATTCGAGCCGCGCACGCGACCGGCATTAGTTT